AATCCGTATGGTGTTTTAGACTCCTCTTTCGATCTACAGATACCTGTTCTTCCTTTGATTGTTCAGGAATTTGAGGACTATAGACTTAAAATTTTGCAGTTGTACAGTACACAATTAGGTGATCTAGTGCATACTCGCTGCTGAGAAGATGATCAAAAACATTTTAGACTCCAGTAAACCAGATCTACTTTTTAAAAATGAAAAGTATTGGAAAGTGTAAAATAAAGCATGTTGAGTAGTTCCATGTAATTTTCGCTCAAGGTCATATTTGCCCTTTTCTTACTGAAACCATTTCCCGTTCTTTTGAGCTGAGCGAGGGCTGTACCGTGAGCTATAGCCATGACCACAGCATAAGCATCGCTTTTTCAAAAAACTAGAAAAATCGCCTTACTTGAGCAAAAACAGCATACAATCTCTCAAGAACAACCAATATTTTGAGTATGTTTTGTGTCTAATAGTCGAACACAGAAATGAAACACTTTTCTCACCATAAATGTCAATAGTAAATTTTTAGTGTTAAAACGGCTTCAAAAACAGTGCGAGATTGGAAGCAATGCAAGAAGGAAAGAAAAAGTTGTGATTAAAGTTTTTTTCTTAATGTTGTGCCACATGAGAAAAACAACTTGATTTTCTTTCTTCAAACTTGGTTTTATTTCTTCAACCTTTTCCCACATTCTTTTGTTTGATTGAGAACAGAACAATAGTTTGAAAGTAGCATATTTGAATTTCAATGCTATAAATTATATGTGACATCTCCAAACCCTCCAAAATCTGTTTATCTTCAGTCACATTCTAATCAGGACTTTGTATTCAAGCGAGCTGTTTTACCTGAATCTAATAATAATGGCAAGAGGAGCCCTATTTTGAAAACGGAGTGCAAACCGACCATTCATCCATCATCTGTCAACGCACACAATTGTAGAGCGAACGTTTCTGATCGAAATAAGACCTTGCATCAAAAAGCTACAGGCATTTTCCCACAAGTCCTAAAATTAAGTATTTTACACAGCGTTTAATACAGCGTTTTCACTATATAAAAGTTACACCTGAAGTATTTCCCAAGGTTTTTAGTAGCGGTTTGTCGTAGAGAGTTCAATCTTTTTTTGTTTAACAGAAGAAAAGAAACTACATGGTCTGACCGATGCCGATTTTTGAATTAGATCTTAGTTTTTTACCAAATTGTGGATTTTTAGAAAATCCGGAAGGAGTTTTCGGGTTTTGAAGTTGTTGGTTTCCTGGAAAACCAATAAAGACTTATTTGAAAAATCGGCACCGATCAGACCATATAGTTAGGTGTCTAGCTTAAAACAAAACAAACCCGAACTCTCCGGCTTGAAGTATATTAAAAAATCTTGGGACGTCGTTCAGGGTCCTTTTTGGACCTTGATCTCTGGAAAACTCCTAAACCGTAAAACTCGGGGACAAAAAAGTTTTCTCATTCTCGTAACTCATTGTGCCGAATATTTATGAAAAATTTCGTCAAGATCAGATGTATAGTGTCGGAGATAATTTCTGAGGGAGTGGGCCCTAAACTAGTTTAACAAAACAAACAGTTGTTTTCCGTGTTACTTCTTTATTCTTTCTTTATACTTGTGTTTAGGTGTTTCTAGAAGGCAAAGCAGACAAAGTGGATTCACCGCAAATTTCCGAGAACAACCTTGAAAAACAGTGCTAGCTGTTGGATCCCTCAGAGTTGAAATGTGTCTCAACCATCTGGATCGAGTCGGTTTAGTTGAGTCCAATATATTAGATTTGATTGGATTTGAATCAACAAAGAAAGATCATGACTTTCATTTTTTATGAAAGCAAAAGTATCGACATTTAATCTGATGCTTTTTGATGAGAAAAACAAAAATACGATAGAAATAATGAAACAGTAAATGATATGTTCAGCGTGACAGTTCGCTATGGCGAAAAAAGCAAAGGCGTTTACACAGTTGCACTATTAATTCGTATCAACAGCTGTTCCAATAAGCAGAATACTATACATACTCGTCGATATAATCGCCTCACAAACAACTGCTGTTTCTCATTATAATTCTTCCACTTAAACGATATAGAAATAAAAAAGGATATAATAGCATAACTATAGTGCTTGCACATTGTCCACTTTGGGAAAACTTACGCTACCTAGAAGAATAAATTAGAAAAAATTCAAAAAGGTCTCTCAACATTTCGAAAATCACAGTTATGGAAACTGAATTTCGAAGTTTGCAGTAGTTTTAACAGACCTTTTCGGTAAGAGAAACACGACCTCCGCTCTCCGCTGTCATACAAAACAAAATATGAAAGGTTAACTTTGGGATTTTTCGAAGCAAAAATGCGCTTAGATTTTGTGAAATACGAGTAAAATCGTAAAAATGCTCCATGTACTTCTTGCAAACCTACTCAGTCAGTCATAGTCAATGCAGAAAAGTGCATTGATTGTTCTTTACACGGCGACTTATGGTACCCTCTGTCGAGTCACTCTTTTGCACACTTTCAGCTTTATTGTACGACAAAAGTCGTTTCTAACACTTTTCTATACTTCGATTCTCTCACTTTCGCAAAAGTGATAGAAAGTGGCATCAGCTACCACTGTCACTTTTAAGAAGTGGTAGTGTTACCACTCCTGGAAGTAGCAATAGCCATTCCGATTTTTATATTTTTGGAGAGAAAAATAAAAAGGGATGTCATGCAGAACAGAAAAAGATCGATAGAACAGAAAATAAGTCGAACTTAGTTAATGATAATCACAGCTACTGTGGAGCTCTTTCAAAACATAAAAATAAAATTAACTTATGTCGGATTCGCCGTAAAATTCTACTTCTAAAACCCGCTTTTAATCTCGTTTGAATAAGCCCACACTAATTTTCTAGTGTTCATGCTTTACTATTACCCCAGGCACGTCCTAGAACTAGAGACTGAAAGAGCCGGATTTGTGCGTGTTATAGAAATGAGGATTTCTAGAAAATAAAACCACACATTTTCGGATTTTCTACTTTAAAACCACGACAAAAAACAGTCAAGACAAGTAATTCAAAAATCAGCGTTGCAAAAAAGAACCTGAAGAAAGAAGAAGAACGTCACTTTCAAAAAAGAATTCGTCACCACACTTTGATAATTCATATCAAATGAAAAAGTTTTGAATGAAATACATGAAAAAATTAGGAACTTCATGTTCTACAAATTAGGAAAACGCTAGGAGTACAATGAGAACTGTTCTAAGTATAGGAACTATAACCATGAGTGAGAGTGAAAAATTCGAATACCTGCCAGGAGGTGACCGCGTAAAATTTTTCAGGTTTTTTTCATAAAAAATTCAGAAGTCCGAAAAACAGTTTCATTCGACATATTGAACAGTCCTTTTGTAAAAGTATTCATGGTTCTCTATTATTCTATTCTTAAGGATATCCTTTTGAATAGAATTTTTTTTACCAGTAACTTATGATTTGAACCACTTCAGACTAGCCTGTCTTGTTCAATTTTTTCTGCTTGTTCGTTATTATCATACAGTTATTTCCTGTTATATTTTCTATCATAGAAAGCTAGATATAATGCTCTACAATTCCAGATTCTCTGTGATAATTATGTATTTTATGAACAAATATGTTAAACCAACAGCACTTATTTGAAATGTACAACAATCTGTGGCAAAATATTCGCTTCTTGAAATATAGCTAATTCATCAAACATTGCATGGTCAATTCCTGCTGGTGGCGGACGATAGTTCATTAATCTTTGGTTGCCAACAGGTGAAACTGGAATATAATGACATTGATAGTTTCGATAATTTCCTTTTCCATAGAATCTAAATTCTTCTGGAGCGACATTCAATGGAGCATCTGATGCAACGACGGGAAATGGGTTTAAAATAAGTACGTAACATAGTATTAGACATCCACATTCGCCACTGTAGCGAGCTGCATATTTTGCACTTGATGTAAAATACATGGCCTTCCCATACCATCCAGCGTCTAGCGTTCCAAGTGTCGCAAATCCATCTGAGAGTAGATTAGATAAGATTTCTCGTTTACAACCGTGCCACATACGAACAATACGTGCTTTTCGATTATGTGCTACTTGATTACATAATGAATCTAAACGTTCCAAAACATTTAATCTTTCTTTTGGACTACTCTCTTCTGATAGTCGGGGTTGAAATGCAGGTTGATCTTGTCGATTTTCAACAACCTCCATTTGGCCCGTGAACATTCGATAGCGGGCTGAATTACTTATTACTTCGATCTGATCAATCTTATAACTGCTCGGTAACGACCCAAGCCATACACGTATACGATCGACAAGGTTCAGATGAGCTTGATTACATCCATCTAATACGAGTTGACAAGATGTGACATTGGGGTATTTACCCGCTACTAGTTCTTTCGCAAGTGGAACATTAAAATCACCATTAAACTGTGAAGAAAAGCTAGTAGTTTTATCAACTGTCGTTTTGCTCAGTACATTGAAGGGATTCGTTGTTAATGAGGAGGGACTAGTAATATGTTTGATGTCATTTATAGCCATCATAATTGTTCGTTTTTGTAGTGTTGATGTTATACCAATGTCTTCTAATGTATTTTCATCCAGTACTGTTAAAAGACATCGCCCGTTAATACCATGCATCCGAAATTTAAGTGCATGGGGTGCATAGACAGCGCCTAACGATTGTATCCATTTATAAACCTCGTCAATACTCCACTTTTCACAATTTGCCACATCTAGAACTAAACAAAGTATGCGATAAGCGGCCAGGATTATGTTTGGAATCCGGTTTGAAAATAGAAAGTTGGGTATTTTAAAACTCCAGGAAGTTGCATAAAATTTCTTTAACTTCGCAAAATTTCTCAGCAGAAACTTCATACTTTTAGCAAATGTGCTTTATGATAAAAGGTAATTGTGAAAAATATCGTCATCTTAAAAGGATTGCTATTCAGGAAGAAAACATACCCCGCCTTGCGGCTGCCGTTACCGGTGCAGGATGCTGCCTTGGCAGTTTCAATAGTCCAGTGTCTTTCCTGCATTCGACAAGCGTCTGGAATGGTCACCCATCTGATTACTAGTCATCAACTGCAGCTCTGGCCACAAGGCTAGCCTTACGCAGAGTTCTTTCGCGCAATTACTTGAGCTTCCCACACTTCACTAACCATGTACTAGCTTTCCGCAAAGCCACAAGGACTAGCCGAAGAAACTCTGTTGTACGTCATAATGTGGTGAGTATGCTGTCAGACGGGTGATCCAAGGCACTAAGACATAAATACCTTGCCAAGGTTATTACATAACTTTGCTAGCGGAGAGGTTCGAACACAGTAACTTTGAAGTACGTGACGAACAACATAACTATCAAGCCATGAAGTTCCCTTTCTCAACAAGAATTTTCCTGCTGTAATCAAGAATAACAAACACAAAATTTCTCTTTTATCTAACAAGAATTTCCTTCTTTCAACAGAAATTTCTCTCTTTATTCAAGTTAGGAATCAAAACTACGCGGGGAATTTTTCTGTTAGAAAAAAATTGATTATTATTTTGTGCATATCGAAAATCAGCGGTACTTAATATTACTCTAACCATTACTCTAACCGTGTTAGTAAATGAACTAATACATTTTTGTAAGTATTATGCTACCACTCAAAAAATGCATTTTTACCTAACACGTTAGGTAACGATTGTTAAAAGAGTCGTTCAAACGCTTTTTTTGTCGGTTAAAACATTAAATGGCGCGTTTGTTCACGACGCCGAAAGAGTAGCTCAAACGTACTATCGATGTCGTTTTAAACGCATTTCATAACGACAAGGTCACAAAGGGCGGAGTGCTATTTTTCAAAGTTTAAGCATTATAATAATTACTTCTGTCTTTGATCTATCTTGTCCTGAAATAGCATTTTCAGAAATTAAATTGAACGTTGGGAAAACACACACTAAGAAATTTATTCAAAAATCGCTATCCTTAGATAAAGTTAGTTTTTTGGCCAACTTATTGGAACGGTTTGATTTGAAAAACTATCTGAAAATAATTATTCATCTATGAGCTCCATTTTGATGAAAAGATCGCTGAGACTGAACTCAAATTTCCTACAGAAAAAAAAACTACTAGTCTAAAATTGAGTATCAAAAATGCATCATTCTGTATTTTGTAAACTCTACAAACAGCTAAAGTTCAATCGAGCTCAACCTTTCGACAAATATTTCTCTATGTGTGCGCGACCATTGATTATAGCGCCAATTAGCGCCAGTGATTCTGAATTCTGCTGGAGGTTTTCCAAAAACCATCGGTTTTGACCCCAAATGCAGTTTTTTACGACTAATATAACATTTTAGCGCAAAACGAACATGATACTCAGAATTAGCTCGTCGACCTGCATCGAACCATATATAACATTGATTTTTCCATAAAACTTTTTTAAATTTTCTATTCTAAACATGTTTCGGGAAATTCACTACTCCGCACTTTGTAAACTCTACAAACAGCTAAAGTTGGTTTAAGCTTTAATCTTGAACCAGAACGAAATCGAGAATATAAATTCCCATTATATCATTCTGAAACTTAAACTATCAAAACACAAAATCAATCCTTGCACGAAGCTAGGATCGAACACACGAACCTGATCTTTGCAGACGAACAGCTAAAGTTCAATCGAGCTCAACCTTTCGACAAATATTCCTCTATGTGTGCTCTACCGTTGATCATAGCGCCGATTTGCGCCAGTGATTCTAGATTGTGCTGGAGGTTTTCCAAAAAACGATGGTTTTTGGAATTCCAGGACTAGCACCCGGTGACCATTGGTAGCTTTGAAAACTGATGGACTATTGGTAATCGATCATGCTGAGCCTTCTGGCAATATTTGTTTTTAGGAGAAGTTCCAGAAATCTACCGAAAAGCGAGTTTTACGAAAATTTGCGTTTTCAGGCTGTTTTCACCTAATATTAAAAAGTTCACTATTCACTCAGTAAACATCACAACGGGTTCAAAATTTGAGGATATAGTTGATTTCCTGCGCTAAACGTGATTATACTATCGAAAAGTCAGAAATAGCATATTTTTATTATTGGGTTTTCAGAAAACCTTGGGATTTTATAAGACTTCTTTTGAGATCTCCTATAAACAGGATATCGAGCAGAGTAAAACTCTACATTCTGAAATTTTGAACCCGTTCTGATATTTATCGAGTGAATAGTGAACTGTTTAATATTAGATGAAAACAGTCTGTTATGTGGTATTTTATAGGTATTTTTTCAGTCCTGAATGACGCTGCTTTTATTTCTAAAGCGTTTTGAAACGTGTTACATAACGCTATCACAGTCGTTCACAGTGATCAAAAAACGCGTTATGAAATTCAACAAAAGGACTTTCTAAGCGAATAGATCGAGGAAAAACACGATGTAACAATAATACAAAAGCACTGGTTTTGAAGTCTTTAACACAAAGAGCGCAATAAAAAAACTTGACGCTTGGATAGAAAAAACAGTCCCTTTCTTCCTAACTGTTATATACTTTTGGAAAAAACCCTTCACTAAGCCAAGGGATGACTTTTAAGAAAAGACATTCAAACTATCACATAAATTATAGCTATGACGCTTCTTTTGGCTAAAAATCTTGGGTGATGTTGAACTATAGCATGAAACCTTCAGGAAGTTGACTATACTTTATTTAAAACTATTTATGAAATGTTTTTAGCTTACCGAGATCTTTTTCGTGAAACTTAGAACTTCTGTCAGGAAGATTTTGCTTTCTTATGTCACTACATATGCCTGAATAGTTTTCCCGTACACGATCATTCTTTGTAAAATTTGAGGTATAACCAGTAGTCATAGCTGATCTATCATTAACACGTTTTGAGAAATCAATTTGCATGGTTTTTGCATTTGGAAATGTTACATCTGGATTTGATCGATCAATACTTTTTGGTAATTCAAATGATTGAATAATATGTTTTCTTGCTAACATCTAAATGCAATATGACTTCGGAATGAAGTGGAAAAGCGATAACAAGAATAGATTATCTATATGTACTGTATTAAATACACAATCCTTCCACTGATAACACACAGAAAAAATAAAGCAAATGTAAAAGGTAGATTTGAGTGATTCTGGTGATTTTTGTACCGTTTTTAATAAAAAGAATGACCCAAAATAAAAGTGTCCAGAAAAATATTTTAACAATGTAAGTCTATAGAGGGTACTTGAAAGTATAGAAAAAAATCTGTTTCCAAACTACCAAGTCCTTCTCAGCCAAAATCCTGGTTGTTCACTTTTTGACTTACGTCAGGATCGAAAATGCGATTTTCTCTGCTTTGCAGCTAAACATGCATGGCTGAGCTTAAAACTGTATTAAAAGATAGGTTTTCATGCTTGTTCTATCAACTGGCATCCTTAAAAAATGGTTTTAGGCGATTTCTAAGATTGGGCCTCTATAAATTCAGGTAATAATTACGATAAACGAGCTTATTTTTAAGTATGAAGAAAGTATTGTAACAGCAGCTAGAGAATATACACAACTAATCCTTGGCTAGATAAACGAAAAGAATGCAGTTTTTTCCGCAAAAGTAAATTTATTTGGTTCGTTTCTTTTATCTAGCCGATGATTAGTTGTGTATATTCTCTACCTACTGTTACAATACTTTCTTCAAAAATCCAGGTTTTCTGGAAATCCTTTGCTGAGCAGATTTTCAGAAAACTGAACCGACCATTCAATTCAGGGTGTCATAATATGTGTAATCGTAAAATTTGAGGCTTTACATGCTAGCCGTTACAACAAAACAGATGGTAACAGAAGTAGTACAGAGAATAAAAGAAAATAAATTAACATACTTCATCTTCGTTTCCAGTACATTCACCGTTTACTATTAACGTACTTCCAATGATCTTTATGCTCACCTGAGTATTTGAAATCAAAGAGAAAATAATTGGCATTCAGATGTGCACATAGCCAGAGGTTTTTTCCTACCTCGTCTTGACGATAACCATCAATATTAACAGTGATATGGTATTTCTTGTTTACTGGTATAACTGTACCATATGAATCTTTCACCAATTCATTTATCCCTTGTGCAACAGTATTTTGATTGCTTTTGCGATTAATTACTTTTTGTTCATTATCGTTCAAGGAGTGTGAACGTGGTTGTACTTCTTGCAGAGAGAGAACATGTGTCCCTAAACTTTGTCGTGCACGAAGAACTGCTGATTGGTTACAATAACCGACATTAATGTCACTGTTACTAGTCCCATGCAGACTTTCTTGAAAGAAACGCAGAAGTTAATATTTTATTTCTAACTAAAGTATATACAGTATGTGTATAGAGGACAAAAAAACTGAACAGTAGGCGATATCGCTCAAATAATGAAGAGCGTGAAATTTTCTAATTCAAGAACTTCTGAGGCGTTCTTTTTGAAATTTGAAAAGAGTAAAACGGTCATGCAGCTAATAATTCTTGACAGCATGAGGGCAAATAAGGTGATTTTTAAAATTTCAGGAATGAATTAAAATTACGATCTCATAGTATAAGAACATTGCTATAGCCAATACATAAGCAAATATAAAAAACATTACCTTTATCCACGGGTATTTGTCAGATGTTTATTTATTGAGAAATGGTTTCAGAATAAACACCAAGTAAGTTGATGGGGTTTCAAAAAAAATTCTTTGCACATTTGATGAACTTTCAAAAAACAACATTTTTGTTTTAAAGACTGAGATACTATTTTCATTTTGATCTTTAAACCGAACGTTGTTCTAACTGAATAAATTTTATTCCACAATCGCCTATTTTATTACAGAATGATTTCGATGATGTTCTACGTATATACGCAACAGTCTCGAGCAACGTGAGTTGAGAGAAGAGTTACAGAAGGCAGTCTCGAGGACTGCAAACGTAGTAAGGCCGGTCCAAGTTTTCAAGGCTTGGGCTTTTTTGTAACAAAACAGACGGTTGTAAAATCAAATTTATTCCGTCATACTGGATGATCGGTCTGATAACTCCAGTGATATGTGAACAAAAGTCAATAGTGAACGAACATACGTGTTTTGTTCAAATATTCATTCGTTCTTCTTAGTTGATTGTCTATTTCCTTAAAATAAAAAGAAAAGTCTAACTTATTCTTGATGTACCAGCTTCCAATGACAATTTAATTACTGAGTTTAATAAACGTAATGTAATTTTGCTACTTTGATCCATTGTTGGGCCTACAAGCGAAAATATTCGGACGAAAAAATGTACTTAGAAAAACTAATAATCTTACTCTTTGTCTAAGTTATTAATCAAAGAAACTTTTATAAAAAGATTCACACTATCAAGACGCCATATTAGCATACTCATCAGAGGCAATACAAATATCAAAACCTCAGTGCAACTATAACAAGATGTATCCACTACCAAAAGTAGTGGATAAAAACTGACTTATCTGCATAGCAGAAGAGACAACCGCCTTTCCCACGCTTTTAGAAAGCTATTGGTTTTTGCCAGCAGAAAAAAC